GCAGCCCGGAAGGGCGGGAGGAGTGCGCCTTCGAGCTGCCCCCCGAGCTGGGCACCCCGGCGGGCCTGGCCCGCGGCGGCCTGGTGCTCACCGTCATGCACCGTGCCCTGGTGGGCATGGACCGCTTCCTGGGCCAGGCCCTGGTGCCCCTGGAGCCCGCCCTGCAGCAGGGCCGCGCGCCGGACGAGCGGTGAGTGGGTCCCGCCGGGCATCGCCCCACACTCGTGGGGACAGAGCAGGGGAGGCCTCTGGGATGGGTGTCACGGGGGCCCTGCGTGCCCCAGGATGGGCGTCATGGGTCTGTGTGAGCCCCAGGAAGGGCGTCGCAGTGGATGGGGTGTCATGGGGTCTATGTGTGCCCTGGGAAGGGCACTGCGGGAGGTGAGGCATGGTGGGGTCCATGCATGCCCCAAGAAGGGTGTTGTGAGGTACAGGGGATCACGGGGTCCGTGAGTGTCCCAGGAAGGGCACTGCAGGAGGCAGGGTGTCACAGAGTCCGTGGACACCCTAGGGAGGGTGTCGTGGGGTCCTGGCATGCCCCAGGAAGGGCTTTGCAGGAGGTCATACACCATCACGGTGGCTGTGCATGCTCCAAGAAGGGTGTCACGGGGGACGGGGCATTGTAGGGTTCGTGGGTGCTCTGGGAGGGGTGTGACAGAGGATGGGGTGGCACAGTGTCCATGTATGACCCAGGAAGGGCATTGCAGGATACATGGTATCACAGGGCCCATGGATGCTCCAGGAAGGGCATCACGGGGTGTAGGACGTCACGTGTGCTCCAGGAAGGGTGTTATGGAGGATGGGGTGGCACAGGGTCCCTCCATCCCCCCAGGAAGGGTGTCATGCAGGACAAGGCATCACAGGATCCTTTCTCCCCCTGGGAAGCGGGTCCTGGGGGACAGGATGCCGGGAGGTCCCTCCACGTCCTGGGAAGGTTCCCTCGGCGTCTGTCACTCCTGGGAAGCAGTGGCACAGATGCCCATGGTGGTTTGTCCTTCAATGGCTGCAGTGGCTTTGCAGCCCCCACCATCTTGGTGGGGCTGTTGGTGTGACCTGGTTTGTTGTGGTGCTGCTGCAGGAGGGTCCCCCATTTCGGGGGACCAAACCCCAGCCCTGTGTTGACTCCAGCATAAAGCCCTGCGTGCGGGGGATTTGCTGTTCTTCGTCCTTCCCCCAGAAGAGTTTAAAACAATAATAATGTTTTCGAGCCTTTGCCAGGCAGAGAAATGCATGCAGACCTGGCTGGGCTGCTGCAAAGCCTCTGGGAGCTTCCTTGCCGCTCACTGGCTCCCCGGACCCCAGGAATTCGGTTGGCTCGCTGCCTGAAGCTTCAGGCTTGGAGAGGAGCCTCCCTCACCCTCCTACCCAGGGCATGGCCAAGGAGGTGGCGGAGGGAGCGCTGGGGCTTGGCAGACAGCGCAGCCTCATTCCTGGAGAGTGGGATTAGTGCAAAAAGGGGTCGGAATAACTTTTCCCGTGGAGAAATGTGGCTCGTTTGCATCTGCAGCCCGTGGAGACTCCTGCTTGCCCTAAAATGGGAGCGTGGGCACAGAGGAAAAGTGACTAACCCTGGAGTTAGTGTCTGAGTGTTTCCCCCCCGGCGTTTATTTCGCTTTTATTAGCGCTGCCTGGAGAATGGGCGGTGTCGGAGGAGCTGGATCTGAATTCTTCGGGCTTAATTCAAACCAGCATTGTGCGCAGACTTCAGAGCGAGCAAGCCGATCCGCGGCCTTTCGGGCGCGCCGGGAGAGATGTGTTGTTTTGGCATGGGAGGATGTGAAATAACTTTCCGTCCTCTTTGCGGTTTGGGTAGGGAGCCCTGCGCCGGGAGCTGGGGTAGGAGGCATGTCTCGAGGAAAGCCGCGCTCCTGTTAGCAGAAGTTTACGAAGCTGTGCAAGGCAGGGGGCCCTGTGACAGTCTTTCCGGAGATTTCAGGAGGCTGAGCCTGTGGTCTCATCTCAAAGGTCTTGGCGTCAGGGGCCATTAATCCTATGGGTGCAACGTCCAACGTGGCTGGACCCCGTGTTGCCTGTCACGGCTGCCGATCACCGCGGTGGTACTCTTACTGCAGCCCAAGGAGGGCATCTGTGCTGTGAGGCAGGAGATCACCAGGATTTTTGCTGTCTGTCTTCCTCCCTTCCTGTAGCTTCGCTTGCATAAGGAAAATTCACTTCCCCTCGCGCTGTTCAGGATTGCAGGAGCTTTTAAGGCTCTTTATCTTTGCCTGTGGCCCCTGGTGATGGAACTGAACACAGAAAACATGATGGAGAGCTCTCACCCTGCGCCCCTACCATCTCTGTTCTCTTGAACCCCTGAGCTGGAAGGTGTCTCAAGGGTGGGTGGCAGGTCTGCAGCGTGGAAGGGGCTGCGCATTTTTTTTGGAGGAGGGTTCCACGTGCTGGAGAAGGGTTGGGGGGAGCCCTGGGGGTCTGGCTCTGTGAGCTGTGTAAGCTTCCAACCACTTTCTGATGTCTGGTTCGGCCCTGTTGTAAACAACTTTGTTTAAGAGGAAATTTTAGTCCCAGATTAAAAAAATAGCAAAACAAACACAGGCTGACCTGCTCTGGGACTGCACCATGGAGCGCACCCATGCCTGTGCAGCGGAGATAACCATTGGCCCCCGAGTGAGGGATGTATAAATTGAGTCTCTGCCATACGCTGGTTTTTAGGACCCCATCTGCAGCCCTTGCTCCCAGCATAAAACTGCTGCCAACTGGAATGGGACCCTGCTTAAAAAAAGGCCTCAATTGTCAGTGTGTTGACCTTGCTCTCATTTTCCTGCT